ACTGAGGCAAATTTCAAATTTAGTCTCATCTGGCATCTTGAGGAGTTGTGACCGGGCCTTGTTTCACTGCAATTGTCTTCAAAGCACAAGAAATTCTCAGCCTGGAGTTCTCCTGACCACTTAGTCAACGTGAGAGACTCTATTTTTTGAGAGAGAGCCTTACTACATAGCCCAGGCAGACTTTGAACTTGTGATAACAGGCATGTACCTGTTCACCAAGAGCCAATTCCTAAGTGTACAAGAAGAGAAAACTTAATTTTAGGAGGTGGCAAACTGCTTCCCATTCACCCTTCTTCCTGGGCCACAGTGGTGACTCTGTGACTTTTGCAACCCTTCTGGGCTTAAGAGTCATGGTGACTTCAGAACACTGTCTTGTTTCCTGAAGCCTGATAGTCCCACGGGGGCAGATTGGAACGCTCTAGTTTTGTCCCTTGTTCTCAACCTCAGTGGTTTTGCCTTCATCTAGTGGGGACATATAGACGGAGTAGAATTAGTGAGACCTGAGTCTGGGTACATGAGAACACCGTAGTTTGGAAAATGCTCCAAATTCAGTTCTATGGTTTTCACCTGTGTGCAAACTGCCACGCCTGCATTTATAAGGAACAGAAAGGCCTTGCTTTTGTTCTGCTGTTGTTTACAGTATGTATTATAAAACAGAACATTTTAAGGAAATTGTATTCTTTTAGTCATCCCATAACCAATTAAATAATACATTTGGAGAAAATATCTAATTTGTACATTGCTTACACCTAAGATAATTTTGAAATCCTAAAAAGATTTTTAAATGTAGCATCTGGTACAATATAAAAATTATTTCTAAATATCAATGTCCTATCATAGGCACACAATTCAATAATGATAACAATAAAATGTATTGAAACCTGCTGTGGTTCTCCTTTATCTTGAAACAATATCTCAGAGGTCAAGTTCATAGTTTATACTATGGTTTAAACATAATTTGTCTCCTTCAAAACTAATGCTCAGATTTAATTCTCATTATGAAGTATAAAAAGGAGGACCAGGGCTAACCTCTTAGAGGATTAAACATCAAGTTTTAACTCTGAAGAAACTACTTTAATAAACATCTTTATAATTCCTAAAGCAGAGATCACAAGTCCTGTCTCCCCCCTCCCCCAACCTTTTATTTTAGAGACAGAATTTTGCTATGCAGCCCAGGCTACCCTTCGTCTTACTGGGTAGCACAGGCTGACTTTGAACTTGTGCTCCTCTTGCTTTTGTCTTTCAAGTGCTGGAATTACAGCCACCACATTTGGCTATAAGCTTTATTCAGTCAGGATAATCCATTTATAGGGGGCTGAAGATTGTTCCAGAATGCAATGTGAAGATGCCTTTCCTGTGGAGCAGTCACAGAAGAGCTCCTGATCTGGCGACTGGGTCAGTGTGGGAAATAGCCAATCAGAACACACTACATTAAGTTCAGTCTTAGATTGCTTTGAAATCTGCTTGCAGGCAGAACATGTGCCTTTCTCCTAGTTTGGAGAAGGTCCAGTAATGAACACAGAGAATGATAAAAGGGATTAAAATAGCATCTAAGAAAGGAGTTAGATGAAGAGGGATGACCCTTGCTTGGAGAAAAGAGCAGGCAGATAACTCCGTTTGATGACTGCAGACTTCTTCACAAATATCCATTCACTCACTTAATCATTTACCCAAAGTGTCTGCACTGGACCTGATAGATATTGGAGGACAAAAGTACTAGTCAAACCAAAGCTTTGGCTTGAAGCCCTTCGTCTCCATTTCCAGAGACCAAGAATTGAACAAAATCAAGGTTAGGGTTGGATACCAGGAGGAAATGAAGTCACTGTGCAGTGATTTGAGAAACCAAAATGTTTGCTGAGGTCAAGGTAGCCTTAGAATTTGATGCATCACCACGTGCCTTTTTTTTTTTTTTTTTTTTTTGTATGAGATCAAGCTAAAGATTGGAGTAATCTTCAGGGCTGATTAGGAGAATTTCCATCAAAAAAATTCTATCTTTAATTTCAAGCTCTGAATAGTCTAGTACAAACCTGGTATTTTCAGCATAAAGAGAAGCAACTTTTGTGGTTTCTGAGTGTTTTTCATCTCTAGTAGATGCTGCATGATTCATGCTGGAGTCTCTCCAGGCTGCGTAAGTGACAAGAGCAGAAGCCAATGACGGCATCTCTCCCCCACACTGATTAGCAGGAAGGCCACTTGGAAATTTACTGAGAAAGTTGTTATGTACAAGTTCATGGCAACAGGCTGTGTTTGTTGATAAGTTTCTCTTGTGTTACAGGTTCTTAGAATTTTTCTACTTTTGATAAACTGAGATTTATCACCACGTAGAGCAAATAAAAGTAGGATTCTAAATTACAAATTCAGAGGAGGCCTTTTCTTACTTTCTAGGTATGTATAGACAAACAAGTCAGATAACTCCAAGACTAGCATCATGTGTTTTAGTTTGGGTACAGACTGTCTTCAAAGGCACATGTGCTAAAGGCTTGGACCCCAGCTTCATCCTCTGAGAAAGTAGCTGAATGCAAAGAAGTTGGGTCATTGGTGGTGTGCCCTGGAAGGGGTATTGGAAGCAGATGTCCCACCTCTTTCTTTGTTTCTTGGTGCCCATGAGCTGAGTGGCTCCTCCTGTGTGTGTTCACACCAGTATTGCTAGAGGAAGTAGTCATGAAACCTCAGAAACCATCAGACAAGAACCTCTCCTCCTTCTGTATCCATTTATCTCAAGTATTAATATTTGTTACAGTAATGGAATGTCGACTGACAAATTGTGTTTACTTTTTTATGTTAACATTGATAGAATGTGTGAATTGCAGAAGAGCCAGAAGCCTCATTAGGGAAAGCCATAAATCCCTTAAAGTTTCTAAACGGCTGGCCCTAAATTGGCAGACTGGCCTTGCTCAAGCCTGGCTCTGCTCACCCCTTATCAGTTGGTCACTCCCAAGCCTGAAAGTGTTTGTGGAGCCCACCTCTCTCCTCTAAGGCCATAGATAACACTCCTCCAAGTTTCTGGGGAAATAATCTTGAGAAGGAGACCCTCAATCACTCCAAGGACACCAAGCCTGGGCACTAACTCAACTCCCCACTAAGGGCAGCTGTGTCCCACAACCCTGGTATAAAAACCCCCAGTTTTCTTTGTCTAGCTGTAGAGGCTTGATTCCCACGGACAGCCTCTACCTCTCACTGTACCTAGTCTTTGTATAAAGGAAGATATATTCCTTGCCTGTTGCAGGCCTGGCTCTGTTTTCCTGTCTCCTGTTTTTCTATCTTTCCTTTTATTTTCCCAAAATCTAACAAACATTAATTTTCCTGTTTGACTTTCTAACTAGTGAAGTGGGAAATTGCAAACTCTTCTAAGCCATGCTAAACTCCAGTTACAAAAACTTATAAGAAGCAAAGACAAGAGAAGCAGAATTTTATTACTCAGAAGAATGCTTTTTAATCTACATTTTCAATATTGAGCAATCTCTGTGGGAAATTCCTGAGAACTGTAGTTTTGAAAATGCTCCAAATTAAGTTCTATGGGTGTTCACCTGTGTGCAAACTGCCACGCCTGCATTTATAAGGAACAAAAGGTCTTTCTTGCTTTAGTCCTTCTTTTTGTTTACGGTATGTATTATAAAATAGGACATTTTAAAGAAATTGTATTCTGTCATCCCATAATCAATTAAGTAATACATTTCAAGAAAACATCAGCAGGGCGTGGTAGTGCACGCTTTAAAAATTTTTTTTAATAACTACATGATTAGAAGAAGCATTTCATTACAGCTTTAACATATTCAGTAACACACTCCAGGGCAAGAGTACATCTCTTTCACAAATGGCTGTAAGTTTCTAGGTTCTCAGTTGAATTAATACAGTTAAACAATATTGATCAGTATAAGCCTTGTAAGACATAAAATTGAATGAGTTTTTAACCTTTAAAAATGATCTCCATTTCATTTTAAAATACGCTGTTTCTTACAGAAAAACTCCTTGTTTTTGCTAATAACACTGAGATGTTGGTGGATGCATTTCTCATCTGTATGTATCTGATTATTACTAGTCATGATCGGTTGCACTTGGACCCTTGGCGCCTGTGTATGTCTGTGAAGTCATCGGGTGGATTTCAGTGGTAATGTTTATCACCTTTACTAATTAGCATGATGTAAATTTCCATGCTTCCTGCTCAAATATAATACATTTTTAAAAAATTTGTTGATTTCTTTTTGTGTGTATGTGTGTGTGTATCACACAGAACATCCCAAACCATCTTATTTGACTATACACCCACTTACCAGGTGGCACCCTCCCATAGCCTCTGTCCCTCCACTAGAGCCCTTATACTCTGATATCCCTGCTACTG